GGCTATGTTAGCCCTTGCAATTGGAGGCGACTCAATTTCTAGTCAAGAAAGAAGGGAAGCAGTAATAGATGGTCTATTTGATTTGCCAAGTATGTCTTTATTTTGGTTGCTGTTTCTACAAATTAAGATGGAGTTGTTTTTATGCATACATATTCATGTTCTATGCCATGGCTTGGGCGTCTTTTGTCTGTTACATATGTTATAAAAAATGTTGCAGGTAAAGTGAAACAAGTTCTCAAGCTTGACCAGGAAATGAAATATCTTGCAAAATTACTTATGGCTGAGCAATCACTTCTTGTTTTCGGAAGAGGATATAACTATGCAACTGCTTTGGAAGGTGCTTTGAAGGTAAAAGAAGTGGCACTTATGCACAGTGAAGGAATACTTGCTGGTGAAATGAAACATGGTCCGTTGGCTTTAGTGGATGAATCTCTCCCAATTTTCGTTATTGCTACCCGTGATGCTTGTTTCTCGTAAGTCTTTTTCTATGTAAAAGTTGGTCTCTTGATCTTTAATGTCTTTTTCTAACATTTCTAGTTCTGGACAGCAAACAGCAATCAGTCATTCAGCAACTTCATGCTCGGAAAGGTCGACTTATAGTAATGTGCACAAAAGGAGATGCAGCATCTGTTTGCGTTGGTGGATCCTGCCGTGTCATTGAAGTTCCTCAGGCCGTGGATTGTCTGCAGACTGTAATTAACACAGTTCCATTGCAGGTAATGTTGCTACTTCTTTTAATACAAATACTTCCATATTATTTTTTTTATAGGTAATCAAATATTTTATTAATCACGGTTAATACACAGACAGTGTATTATCAATTAATACAAGAAAGAAATAAATATACGAGCAAAAGCCGTAGTATTAAATCAAGTATACAACGTTATATAAAATAATTCTTTAATCTGCTCAGTTGTCCGTAATCATCAAAATAGCAGTTGTTTCTTTCCCCCCACACAACCTAGACGATGCATCCTGGAATAAGATCCCAGACAATTATACTATCCTTATTACGAAATTTTCTCCTCTATGCTTTCAGTACATCATCCATATGTCGTGGAAACACCCAATCCGTGCATTGAAAAGCTAGAATATCGTTCCACAGGGAGTGAGCACCTTCACAATGAAGAAATAAGTGGTCAATCGTCTCCTCATTTTTCCTACACATATAGCATCATTCCGTAACATAAAAACCCCCTATTCGGAGGTTATCCACTATTAACACCAGTCCCCTCACAACCGTCCATAGTAAAAATGCCACCCAAGGGAGCAGTTTACATTTCCATACAATCTTCCAGGGGAGTGAGCTCCCCACAAGTCCCAATAAGGATCTAAAATAAGTGCCAACTGAGAAGATACCATCTCGTGCCAACCTCCACCTGCTACAATTGCTCTCTTCACCTCATACAAAGAGGTCAAAAGCAGCGCATAATCATCTAACTCCCGATCCTACAATATTTCTATTAGGAATTATGGATAGGCTAACAAAAAAGACAGAATTGTGGGTTCGTTGGGAATTCTTACATTTATTTGGAAGCTACTTATTTCGTATGAGCTAAGCCAAACCAATAGGTTGCTCTCAAAAACAATGTTCCAACTGAGATCCTCATTATGTATATGTAAGTCCCCGTTTGTTTCTCATTTTTGGAAGAATGAAAATGAAAAATATAGTCGTTATGGGCCCCACATAAGAGATATAAATTCAAATTTGCTAGCTTGATGTGATGTATAATGGTAATATTTTTCATTTTAATGAGGAAATAATGGAAACCAAATGAGGGCTAAGACTTCATTCACACCTCAAAACAACACGATACAGAGAAGGAAACTCCACTCTCGATGGTTGACTTCCACACCAACAATCTTCCCAAAATCTGATAGCATTGCTATTCCCCACGTCATACGTCAATCTATCCCGAAAGTCTCTCCACCCTTGTCGGATATACCTCTATAAGCTCAACTCATAAGGATCACGATCCATGGCTGAGCACCATCCCCCTTCCATAACACCATATTTCGCCTCTATAATTCTTTTCCAAAAGCTCTCCCTCTCCAAATCGAATCGCCATAGCCACTTACCCAACAAAACCTTATTAAACAATACAAGACTCCTCAGTTCGAGGCCCGCCATACTTAGGGGAGAACAAACTGCTGTCCAATTAACCTAATGAAGTTTCCTTTCCTCCCCTAACCCCTCCCGTAGAAACTTCTATTGAATCATCTCTAATCTTTTTGCCACTGAGACAGGAATAGGAAACAGTGACAAGAAGTAGGGAGATTCAATAGGGTGGACTTAATGAGGGTAAGACGTCCTCCCTATGAGAGGTACATACGCTTCCAACCCTTTGTAAACCATGGCTCAATAGAAATACTTCAAAACTCATCATAATATGCATCTTACATTACTTTCTTTCTAGAATGCCTGAAACATATTAATTCAAGAATAAGAAGACTAATAGTTGAACTTGAATTGTATGATCATCATGTCGGCTGTCATATGATTTGAATAAAAAGATAGTGGGGTTGAATTTAGGTCACAATATGCAGTTTGTGTTTGAGAGTGTGTGGGAGCTATAGCATGAGATGATTGATATTTGTGCTCGAAGATAAAATGGTTTGCTCAGGTCATATATCAAATTGAGATTATTATATTTTCATTAAGAATAAATATCGAGTTTCACAGTGATGGCAGACAACTGTTTGAAAATCTCTCTTGGTCGAGGAAAATGGTATACGCTGCAGTATTAGATTCACACTTATGAGATTGAAGTTTAAGTCCACATTGATGACCATACATTTAAGGCACCAATTCAAAGCTTGATGGCTACTCAGTTTAAGCAACAAATTTTGAATTTGTTCCATTTTTCTGGAGCATGATGAGTTTGCAATGTCCCTTATGAGTGGATTGTGTGATTTTGAGCCATTTAGCATTTGATCTTCAAATTATTACACATCTGTTTGGCATATGATCTGGTTACAGTTCAACCAACTTTTCTCAGTGATCATTATTGAATTTTGCTTTATTTGAGCGTTTCTGCTTTAGTCACTTCTTAGGTGCTCATCTTATTTGCCAGGAAGGTGAAGGGAAGGTGTCTTTGATATACGAGGAAAAAATAATACTGTTTGATCATGAACTTCTCTTCATATTTTTATACTACTAACTAATCTTACTTATAAATCTCTGCAGCTATTGGCTTATCATCTTACGGTACTAAGGGGACACAATGTTGATCAGCCTCGGAATCTTGCGAAGAGCGTAACTACTCAATAAGGAATGCAATCTATTACTTTATCATGCCTTCTCGAATTTGGAAATTCATCATCAGGACGCTAATTCTTGTGACCTTTTACAAAAATTAGTTAAGATTGGTGTTTGATTTGATACGAAAATGGCTTTATTCCCTGACCTGGTTGATTCTTTTTTCACCCCGTTTCATCCAGATGATCGGTATTTGTACCGCACTACATTTCGACTGCTTGCTTTGTAGAATATATCTTCAGATTTTCTCTTTGGAGTTGTTATGGAATGTTAGATTTATGCTCTTTGGTTTCTTGTTCCTTATTTTCTTCAAAAGATGTTACCCGGGGCTCCACACCTGCATTTTTTCAGCCTGAAGAACAGCTAATATTCTGTTACATTTCCAGTGCTATATCAAGTATGAGTAGTGCTTCCAGTTTCAGTATGATGACACTTGGAAATGGGTAGAAAAGATGAATATGAGATGGAACAGCCACCAGTCATGTTTGGTTGTGCTTAAAAGTAACTTTTCTAAGTCGATCTTGATAGTTTATAGATTATAGTTACAAATGCTGGTTATTCTTAGAAAATTATTTTACCTTTAAGCACAACAAAACTTGGAAGGAGGATGTTGTTTCAGATTGGTCCTGTTTTGAAAGAATAATATTATTTAGCACTAAATACTAATGATGTTAAAACACCAATCTAGGTGATTAGATTACACTTGATAAATTCAGTTAAATTAATAATGTGATATTATATTTAAGTGAATTTATCTTTTAACAAGAAGCAGTTGTCATTTAAATTGGTGCTCAACACCAATGGTGCAGAATAACATTATTCGCTTTGAAAACTTGTGGTATTTAATTGCCACGGCCATGGGTACAAAGGCAGGAAGCTTCTTTTTGCAGATTGCTGGAGAAGGGATCTAAGAAGGAAAATCATGCCAATTTCCAGATTTGTCCGTATTATAAATGAGAAATGATGACAAAAGAATTTGCGTGAAAAACATTTAAGACATGAGAAAAACCATATACCTGCTAAGATGGATGTTTATTCAATACAATAATTGCTACATGTTCATCTCAAGGTCTCTTTCTACGATGTTTATTCAATACAATAATTGTTACGTCTTCATCTCAAGGGCTCTTTTCTACCTAAACATGTGAATATAAATCTAATTCATATACGGTTGATTGGGTTAAAATATCCAATTGCATCAAAAACCATGATTCGAAACAAAATCAAATCAATTTGCAAGATATAGATCTACTTTATTTAGTTTAGTTTGAAAATTTTCCAAACCGTTTAAAGTAAGTTGGAGAAAATAATTCAAAAATCACCCAAATCGAATCGTGTTCACCCTAATTGTACCATCGAATGTCTTTCAAATTGGAGTGATTAGGAAAGATTGGTACAAGTAATTCTAGAAATAGTATGTGTATTCAAATAGAAGAATATACATTTCAACATAGCAGGTGTCCTATAATTTATCAAACTGTATATAGCATTGTATATAGCATTCGGCTTCCATATCTATGGTAGCCAGTGTTCTTTATTTGTGCACATGTAACTTCTCTGTATCTAGGAGCCTTGAAACTAAAAATTTTGCCTGGCATGCTAAATGACCTAGTTACAACTATCCCCACGAACTCGATGGAATTTTGTTTAAGCTCCAGACCAAATCCAGAATGGAACCCAAAATGCACCGCCACTACAAAGCAGGATGTCACCAACAGTTTCACATAACCACATTTCTAGGTAAATATAACATTGTCTACGTAAATTATTCAATAACAAAACCTCAAACAGAGGCATATAGAGTACCCAAATACATAAAATATGCATGATGATAACGTTCATTGAGCTTTGACAGACAATAATATTTTCTTGTTCAGCACATAATTTTCCATATAGTAACAGAACCAACAATTTCTTTCTAATAAGCAAACAAGATGAATGACATAACAAAATTTAAAACGTGATTTTTACCATGACTTTCACTCTGCTTTGGCTTCTGGCGCTCCAGTCCCCTCTTCTGTTTTTGAATCCCCAGAACAACACCCACCATGATGGTGATGGTGATGGTGGTGATGATGCTTCTTACCTTTGAGTTGCTTTCTCATATCATAAGCATCTTCCCCATCTGCATAATACTTTGCCTCCACGTCATGAATCTTGTACCCTAGTGTTTCAGTATACAGATTAAATGCAGCCCGATTGCTTTTCCTCACATGAAGTGACACATACTCTGCCTCATATACCTATTTAAGGAACAAAAATGAGAATATTTTAGCCTAGAAAGATGATCAAAATCAATGTTGTCTTAGCCTATGTTTGCCTCATGTTTATAAAATGTTTATAAAACACTCAAGGCACTTTTTATCCACATCTCAAGGGATCACAAGTAGTATCCGCTTATCCACCACTCATTTCTATCTATTTAATTCAAAATGTTTACAAGTACATCCCAAGCATACTTTTAAATGCATTTCAATGTGTCTACAATTGTGGTTACTAGTTTTAACTCATATGCCTTCATATAAAATTAATGAAGAATGATAAAAATAGAAAAAAGCACAGCAGTTAATGTTTTCTAAAATTTTTCAGTCCCAAAGCATAAAGCCAAGAACCTATTGAATAAGTTCAACTCACAAACCTACCAAACAGCACATCTGCAAAAGAAAAAGCTAGAAACGGGAAATATTCATTCAGCCAATTGAATCACCAAGTAAATTGATATTAAACCTTCTGTAGATACCTCAAGTACATGGCTCGTAACAGAATCCTTAAAAAATGAAACTTCCCTAAGTTTAGCTTCAGCATATTCTGCAAGATTCTCAACTATGTCACAAGATTTGTAACACTACTCATTCTGCCGTTAAAGAATACTACATCCAACAAGTACTTAAATAAATCAGCTACTCAGAAGGAAAAAGTAAGCTTTCGTATTATGATCGCAAATACACCCATATCTTTCACAAAGGGTATGGCATGAAAACAAGATTCTAAAGTTGTCACTTCTGTGAGCCACTGAAATTTCAATAGTCTAGACTCAGCATAACAAGACCCAAAAACAAAATTTATAATTTTGTGACCTGACTAATCAATTGGACCACAACATGCAGTGAAAGAAACAGGAAAAACTAACAAAAAATTGAAGAAACGTATTGTAAAACAATATAAATCATTTGAACAAAATATCCGAAAGTTCAGGTAGTGGACAAAATATCCTGACCTGTCACATGGTTCCACAGATTTCAGCATTAAATATCTCGGTGTAAAAAAAATTCATATCGGTTATATAAAGCATATTAACAAAAAGGGACTTTTTTGCTTATTTGAAAACAAAGCAAAATTACAGATCCAAAACAGGGTATCCATAAGTCCAAGTGCAGATAAAAAGAAAAAATAATACACCTCAGCAGGTAAAGTTGGAAACAGCATCTCAATACGATTACAAGCATATCCTTGACTAATATTATCTCAAAACCCGATCAAAAAAAAAAAATTATCTCAAAACTAAGAGGAAGCTAATTGCAACTAATACAAACCCACATGGGTAACAATCAAATTTCTAAAGTTTTTGTCAAGATTTGAGCAGACCAAAATTAGAGTGGAAAAAATAATGTTCCTAACCTGTTCCATGGCGTTTTGAGCAGCGATCATGAGCTTAGTGGCGAGGCCGAGTTTCCTGTGGGTCCTGAGGACAGCTAGGGAGGTGATGTGTCCATGGCATTCAGAGCTCTCCTCTTCCATTTTGGCCAAAACATACCCGACTATCTTCCCATTGTAGTCCTCAGCCACGTAAAGTAATTGCGGCCAGGAGAGGATGTGGTAGAAATAGTATTTCATTTGGTAGTTTTCCGGCAGGCAGAAGAGATTGCATTCCTGCATGGCCAGAAGGTCATCCACCGTTGCCTTGCGGATGCACACCATGGCTTCGTTTTGGGGATTGATTAGGGTTTGGTTTTGGTTTAGGAATTTGGGGAAGATTTGGGAGCGGGTTATGTAGCTGCTGAGTTGGTTCACGTGAGGTGTCCATTCCATTTTTATCAAGCCTATTTTCGATCACATAATTTTTTATAAAATAATATCATACGTAAATCAAAAAATTTTCTTTTTTTTTATTCACTTATTTTTCAAAAAAATACTATTCTACTCATTTTCATTTTCAGAAAATGAGAGCCAAACGGGGACTAAAATTGTATTTAGTCCACCTTCGCATGATTAAATTTTGGGGGATTTGATAAAAAAAAAAAAAAAAAAAAAACTCAGTCAAACAATGTTATTGGTAAAATAACCTTCCTCCAATATTTTTTGATGAAATAGCCTTCACTTGCAAAAACAATAAACAAATAAGATCAAATATTTAAAATACCCTCACCATAAAAAATACTCAAATACCATTTTCAATCCAATTAAATCTCTCAATTCATTTACAAAAACTCGTGATGTGCTTTCTGGTGGTTGCTTCCTTAAAATCTTGTTATTCATGGTATTCTTCATATATCTTCTCTAATATTTTGAGCATTTGAACAATAATTTTTGTGTCTATATTATTCAAATTGAAATCTCTACTATATTTAAGGAAAGAAGAAAGGTATTTTAGAAATCTCATTTACATTGCTACTTTTATTGTTGAATAAGTATAAAATGATATTTTAATTGATTTTATTTTCGCATTTGGTGTATATTTGTACCGTCCGCAACTATTGGACGATAACAACACTACAGTCGTTATTAGTAGTTCAGAACAACACTATAGTCGTTATCTTTCATATAAAACGTCAGACAACCGTTATCTGTTATGATCTGTCCATTATTAATAATATATTGTGGTTACTTTGATAAATTAAATATGGTAACTATTTTCATATTACTTTGATATATACTTCAGTAACTTATTTAACTTTTTATTTTATTTACAGTTATGGATTCTGTAGAAATGATATGGGTACAGTATGCTATTTTGTCGAGTTTAAAAAGACTGAAGAATGCAAATGGACATGGGATTATGTAGGCAACGGTGAAGAAAGTGTGGATATTCTTTATGTTCCATCTAGCATTTCGTATATAAAGTTGTACAACAAAGTGCAAGAACTTGTTAATGTGGATTAAAAGTTATATGAAATTGAGATGGTGTCTTTTAATTTCGGAATGTCTTTTAATTCAGAAATAGCCATGTTGATTTCGTGAGGTTTGTAGTGGATTTTGTGAGATTTTCTCAAAAGGGAAGAAGAAGAGAGACGTTAATTTTTGAATTTGGAGGAATAGGGTTTTACCTGAGGAAGAAACGGGGTGAAAGAGGGAATATGGAAGGATTTTTGTGTTAAAATGTGAATGATAGTTTGATCATTTTGTCAATTAAACTATTTTGATTTTTTTTTTCTCCTTTTTGTATTGGTCAAAAGCTATTTCTCAAAAACATTGACAAACCCGGCTGTTTCAACAAATTTCCCTTAAATTTTTTGCACGTAAATTCTAGTGATGGCAAGAAACCTGCCCCGAATGCGGCAATAAAAATCCGCCCGACGAGTTCGTAGGGGCAAAGTAACCTGTCAAGAGAAAATAATAATAATAATAATAATTTTATTATTATATGGACAAGTGGTGTATAAGTTTGGACATATCTGCAGCATTCTCCACCTAATTGGTCTAAATTCGTTGGCACAAATCAATCCATGATAAACATAAAACTACCATCCAAAACCAGTGGCATTTTCTTTTCTGCTGGCAAAATCTCCCCCAGTTTCTTTGTATACATGCATATAAACTCAATATTCTCCCCATTATTTTTCATCATCATTCAGATCCATTGAGCACAAACAGTGAATAATTTTAACTATACGAAAGAAGAAGAAGCAGAAAATGAGTTCCACAAGCAGGGCCTAGTTAGTGGGAGCAAGCATTGGAGCTGTTGAGGTTCTAAAAGATCAGGGATTCTGTAGATGGAATTATGCAATGAGGTTATTTCAACAACATGCCAAGAACAGCCTCAGATCATACACTCAGGCTAAGAAACTTTCTGGAGCACCCTCTTCAACAATTATATGTAAAAAGATGAAGGAAGATTACAAGTTGAAGAAATCTGAGGAATCATTGAGAACGGTTATGTATTTGAGTTGTTGGGGACCTAATTGAATTGAATCCCCCCAAACCCATATTTAAGCTGTTGGGTTTCAGTTTCCTCTTCGTCTCTTTCATCACCAGCACTGACACTGTCTTTATTACTAAACCGCTGCCTTCTCTTTCATCTCCCTCTCTTCAAAAGAAGAAGAAGAAGGATTGCGGTAGCAAACAGGCGAACTGGACCCGCTGCCATCCCTAATAATTCAAAATTTTCCCTATTTTTAGGAAGCAAGTCAGGGGTATTAAAGTCGTATGCAGTCCACGTTCGAACGATCGAATATTTTACACGTAAATTCAATTTTTTTTTTATATTTTTTAACTACATTGTCTTTAAAAAATATGATTTTAAACCTAATTTTTTTCGAAATAAAGGCTACCAAACATAGGCTCAATTTGAATTTCTTAATTATATTCGATTCATAGCATAATTTTTATTTCTTGCAATACATTTTAATTGTATTTAAGATTCTTAATCTTTTGCCGTGCTATGTACCTAGCTATTTTACACGTCATTCTTATTCTAAAACTTTTCATTAATTAATGTATTTTGTGTTTTATAATAGTTTTATATTCAAAAGATTGTTAAAATGACGTAAAATAACTTATTTTTTATTATAATTCAAATAAATAAATAATAATGCAAAGAAATACTTTTTCCTCATTTTAAAGAATAAAAATAAAATATTCTTATATAAATCATCATCAAGAAACGAACCGTACTAATAATTGGAAGGTTGAAGATGAGAATTCAACGAAAAATGTTAAGAAAAATAATTGTTACAATGAGTAAGATTGAGGAGTTTAACTACAACTAAAAGATGGTGTAACAAATAAAAATTGTGATGATGATATAATCATCCTTTGAATTTTTAAAGATTTTATTGAGACTATTTTAACTTTAATGATTTAATTTTTTTTTCTTTTTGCAGATTTATATAGAATTTATTTGACTTTTATATACTTTCATTTGAAAAAAATAAAAAAAAATCTTGCATATAATTTATTGTAAGTCTTTATGAATCAATACTTGCATTATCAGATGATCTATAATATACAATAACAAAATTATATTTCTCGTTGGATAATTGGTACAAAACACCTTTTCCGTTTGCATGGTTTGTGTAAATTGTCACCATTCTTTCATTTTGGCTAAATACATAACATCATCAAATCAAGTAAATGTAGTGCAAAAACGTCCTTATCTTTTTAGTTTGATGTGCAAATCATCCCCGCCTTCAAAAAATTGACCATCCTTCTAAATAAACACAAAAGAAAATAAAGAAACTTTTTCAAAGATTTACAGAGAATTTTCAAGTAAAGAACCTTAAGATTCAATGAATTGTCGTCGTCATCATCATTTTAGATTTTTTATAGAATCAAAAGCTTTTATACAAGGACTTTTACGAACCTTTGTAAGTTTATTTGATTTTGTGGGAGGAGTCAGGTCTCTGACCGCATGCCTGTTGAAGAATGAACCGGCAACTCATAGGCAGTGGCTTTCGGGAGGTTTGTCTAGAAGCAGCCACCCTTGAAAGAGTGATCGAAAAGAAAATGAGTTCGTCACTCTTTTTCACATACACCGGGAGAAAAGATTTTCGTTAGAAAAAATGTAATATCTATAATATATAATATCCCTTAGAATCGGCTGCCTCCATGAGTAAATAATCCATAACATATCATAACAAAATTAAGTTTTTTGAGAGTCAAGGTATTTCAGAGTTGAAATGACAAAACTTTTGACAAAATTGTTAAAATAAAAAATGACAAACATGATTACATTATTGCCCATAATCGTTACTCATTAATTATTAAAATAAAAAACTTAATAAAAAATGGCAAACTTAATTTCAAAGTCAAGTACCCATGATTTCGATTAAGAACCAAAAATTGTCCGTTCCTATCAATTCTTGATTCGATTCTCAATTATTTGGAACCGATTCGATTCCCATTTGAAAGATTTGATTCCGATTAAAATCTCATCCCCATCAAGAAAATGCCTTCATTAATTTTATTCTCATATCAACTTCAATCGAGTTATGCCATTTTACCAAAATCAGATTTCTAGAATGAATTGGCAAATTGTGATTGAATGGTTGAAAAATATTTTTTCCAACTACCAACGAAATGATTCAAAGTGTCATTAATCTGGTATCGTGGTATTACTAAAGTGTGTTCCGTTCATAATTGAGGCACATTTCTTTCTAAGTGCTTGCAAACAAAGTCATGTAGCAGGAAATGGACCCACCCATTGATTACTACTTACCAAATGCTGAAATGCGTATGCGTGTACGTATAAGTATACGATGCCAACTCAAAATACACACTTGCACACCAGCACACGGTCACGGATAAGAATATTTGACCAGCCCACCAGTGTTGTACATGGTTTCGGTCTCACTTTTGCTGTTGGTTTTGAAAAAAAACACTTCAACAAAACAACACGGATACACTTTCCCCAACTTGTTCATCCAAATCATATATATATTTCCAATAATCAGCCACGAGTTCCACACCACAAATTCATAAAAACCAAGTACTAAAAAGACTTTCTTTCTCAATTTTCTGTCATGGTGCTTTCACTTGGCCTGTCCCTGAAACCAAATCACCGCCATAAGTCAGAAGCCTTATCGGCTTCATTATCGAATTTTCGATCTGAAATGTCAAATCTTCGTAACCAGCTCGCGTTGAAATCGGAGTCAGAATTTCTGTCACTGCCATGGTTTCTCCGTTGTTACGAGATGCTGAATATGAGCAACAAGGCTTTTGCAAAGCTGGTTGTGGATATAGATTACCCCATGAGTAAATGGGGAGATGCTGCTACGCAAGAATATCTTGACTACACCTTCAACTTGATGAACCTGCTAAACTCCATTAGCTCCTCTCTTTCTCATTTG